TAAAGATGAGGCTTTTCGACCGTCCTTGGAATCCTGCAGGCTCAGTTCTGCTCTGTCCCTCAAGGGTGGCTGTGAGTCAGAAGTGACTCAATGAGTGTTTGGTAATTTACAAAAATCGTTTATTAGCTAAATCCACAGGTATTTTCACACCATCTTTTCTGCAACCTTAAATCTTCACGTTGAGCTTTGAGGTCCAACTGTTTCCATTCTTTAGCACTTCCCATCTATGACTCAAGCACTGAAACCCATTCAGCCCCTGTCTTTGTAATTAATTCTCTTGAAATAGGAGACTAGGTCACGTCCAAAGTTCCATTTTGTGCTTGCTATTTATACTGGGCAGATGTCCTGGAAGATACTGACCCGAGTGCTTTAAAATAGGGGAATACCAACCATTTACTTAGTGGTATTTACATCATTACATCCTTGTAATTCCCGGTCATTTTGAACACAGTGGTTAACTTGCTGATTTGCCCGAGAATATTCTCCTTCGACGGGACCTCCGTCTTGGGGCTCTAGGTCTGAGAGTTCATGTGGGGGTTTTGTGCAGCATTTTAAGATGCTGTGACGAGCTTTTCCCATCTTGATATTCAGGATTAATACGGGAGCTATTACATTATGCACAGCACTGCTCCAGGCTTTGGGTAAAGATGGCAATGTTGCTGGCAGGCATGAAGGAGGGGAGGTTTCTATCTTCTTAACCCTCACTTACTGCCCCCCCTTAAGCTAACTGACTGCCCCCGTTGTGTTGCCTACACAGCTGGAAATGGTGCTCCTGAAGACTTTCCTATGGGATGAGGGGGGCATTTTTGCATCGATCTGAAGCAAGCTCAAAGGAGCAGGCTGTCTGCTTCTCACAATCATCTTAGGCGCCCGGTCAGAACATCCCCATTTCCCATGAGCCTGATACTGAAGGGTCTCCGTCACCCTAACCCTAGACACATGCAGGGGTTTCAAAAAGGTTGTGGGAAAATTCCATCTTTCAATTCCATTTTCTACAATTTTTTTAAAGCTCTCCAGTTCATTCAGGACTTCCCTTTGTTTTTTCTGCCTCAACCCTGAGTCTCCATCTCTGCACGCCCACGATGTACTACTTAATACCTGCTTGTCCTTCCCGCTGAAGCTCTCTAACCCTGGTAGTTCCAATGCTGCCTTTCACAGGCCAGCAGCAGACGCACATGGGGGGCAGCTAGAAAGCCACAAGGGTACAGTAAGTCGGTAGTTTCCACTTTTTCAATTATTTCACATGATCAGCTGACCAAACAATAGGTGCCATTGAGATTTTCAAGTAGGACGGAGTGTCAGTTCCACGAGAGCACCTAATCTTAATCCTTATTAAATGGGATCTCCTTAGAGAGGTTCTTAGTGCCCCTCCCTATTTCATCAGGGCGCCACTGTCCACATGACTTAAATCATTAATAGCACATGGTTTTTAGGAAGAGTGCCTGCAACCCTGAGACGGTGCGTGGGAGTATCCCGGCAGATTCACTAAAGACCAAGTGGAAAAGGGCAAGCAGGACAATGAGGTAAATCCCTGGCCATTTGGCCCAACAGCCTCAGCTTTCGCTATGTACGTTTGGAATGAGAAAAGTTGGAATCCATAGGAGAAAAGGGGGGTTAGCCCGCTGAGAACCAGTGTCTGGTTCTGGCCAAACTTTTAGTCTGTAATAACAATTGTGTGCTTTCCCGTTGATCTGGACTCAGTGACTCTAAGGGACAGGGTAAAACTACCCCCAAGGGTTCCCTCCGCTGAAATCCAGGTCTTTTCTCAGCAGGGTCTCTGAGTGGGTTCGAACCACCGGCCTTTTGGCTATCTAGTGGAGTGCTTAACTACTGTGCCACTAGGGTTCCTTGTAAATAACAAGTATCTGAACCTGGCTTCTAAGCCTAATTTTTCTAGCTTTCTTCACTTGTGCTAAAAACAAAAACTTCTTGGCCAAGGGATTCTTTTGATAAAATCCTTTATGAAAAGGATTACAGAATAACATCACACTAGCCACATCACGGTGTAGCACACTGGCG